TCCTTACATTTCGTCTTTTTTTTCTTTGCTCTTTTGAAAGCATTTTTAAACTCAGTTAATTTTCAGCTTGGAGAGGCCCTTCCTAAGTTTAAACGTTCAAATGCTTATCGACGAGAGATGGAAGAAAAAGAAAGATTAGACCAAGTATTTTTTGTATTTTTCATTACCTTTTATTTTTTTTGCTGGCTCTGAAGAATTTTTTCAAAAGCTGTTTTTTTAAACTGTGCGTTAGAATCAACTGTGGAATTTGCAGCAGAAGAGGAAAAGAGTTGATATTACAGAAAATTCTGGCAGTGAAGAAAGCTTTGATGGTGATGACGAACACACCAAGCGTTCTGCTAAGTACTTTCCGTTTCTTCTACTTGCTTTCCGTATAAGGAGCAATTTTTTGAATGAGAGTATTACGAAGTGCTGTTTATCTTTCTGCAGGAGTGTAGCAATTAATCAGTCGTCGTCTTCTGAATTTGTATCTAGTAAAGGAAACAAGAAGGAAAAACCGAAAAAGGCTCTCAGGGATTTAAAGAATTCAAAAAATGATGAAGAGGTCATAGAAAGTATTGATCCTGCTATCCCGTATGAAGTATGTTTCACAGCAAGATCAAAACTGCTATTATTGCTTGTTATTTCTTTCTTTATGGCTTTTAAAACTCTTTTTTAACTTGGTTGGGAATGTTGCAGGCCACTTTTTTTTTTAGGTTCCAATGAAAAATTTATCTTCTAGTACGCTAAGGAGATACAAAAAAGCTTTCCAGTTACCCCACAGGTCAGGGACTAACACGAAACCTCAGGTAAGAAAAATCGTTTCTTCAAAGGCTTTTTTTTGGCTTATCAATCTCGCAGTGATTGGTCATCATTTTATCAAGGTCTGATTCGTTGTTATGAGTGGGAAAATAGCAGTATTCAGTGCGCGTCAAATGGCAGTTGCCGTTTTAGTTGCCGTTCTAGATTTCCTTATTCTTTGCTAAACTCGTAGGATTTCGTACCCCAATTAGGAATCAGAAAATATTATTTCAGAAAAACGCAATTGGGACAAAGTTAAGTCGTTTTAAAGTGCAAATCAAAAAGTAATTCATCCTAAACATTGTCATCTTAAGAGACTTGTAGTTTTGTTCACGAATAATGGATTATTGTGCTCTTTTTTTTTTTTTTTTGAAAGCCTAATGCGGACTCAAAAAAATTGTGGAATACTTATGCTAACAAATTACAGAAAAGACAGGAATAGAAATGAATGTTGAAGACGTCTTTTTGGAAAACTTCTGTTTCGAGTTTTTTAAAAATTCATTTGTTGAAAGACAATCCTCGTGTAACATACTGTAATCATAAGAAGGTACTCCTGTGTTATCACGAATTGTAGTGTGGTTGGTGAGGCAAAAGTGTAAAAATACTTCAGTTTATGCTTTATGGCCAGCAAGTGACAGCGTTCAGGTTTTTTTATAAAATTGATTATTATTATTATTACTGTGGTTACTTCTTCATTCTGTATCACTATGTTTCCTCAGTGAATTTTTGGTTTGAATATTTGAAGCTCGTTGCTGGGTATTGCTAACAAGTATTGTTTTCGTGTCATCTTTCCGGCAGCGCATTATTTTCTGACTTTGCTTAAGGCTTAGCAGTGGTGGTTTAGGAGGGCCGCGCAATGGTATCATCAGGTAACAGCGCAAGCTGCGTTCTATTCGTCGGCACTATGTTTTGCTTGAAAAAGAATTCTCCGACTCCTGTTACTTCTACAGCTTTCTTGCAATTACAAATGGCACAGTTGCAGTATGTCCCAAATGTCCCATACCGCCCGAACTTTTTGAGGACAAAGCTCAATTTGAAGAACATTTTCTACTTTCTTAATGGAGCTTTGACACAGTATTAAAAATGAATAAGTTTTGAGATGAGAGAATGAATTTTTTTTGAAAAGTGCTTTCAAAATTTATTTTTTTAATCTTTTCTCCTTTTTAATGTTTATATTTTGCTCTTTTTCTAAGTCTGTTTAGGGCGCACTTGCAAATGAGGGAAAAGTTATGAAAATTGTTCGCCAGTGTTCAAAAATACATGTTTTAACGGTGAGCGTGTTCAGCAAAAAGTTTTTTATATTTTAGAGTGGCCAAAAGGTGCCACGAGTACACTTTTTGAATCTCTGTTAATTCAGCAGTTGGGTACGAATTATATAAGTTGGCGAAGATTAAAGGGAATCTAAGAAGTAAACCGGAAAAAGTGTGTTATTTGACGTGCGCTAGACACATTGTTGTTCTTCACTCCGTTGGGTGATGCAGGAGGCAAATAATTTGTGTCATGAAACGTGTTTACAGCTCCTAGAAGGCATTAATGAACATTTGTCATCGATCCAGGTGCCACCGCACGAAATCATCGCTCAGTTCCTGTACAGCTGTAAAATGCGTAGAAATAAATTGGATTATCCGTCAGTTGCTGATGCTACAGAAACTGTGCCTGGACATTTCTAGCTTTTTGAATTATTCTCTTCATCATTGGGATTTACTTTGCAATGGGACAAAAGTTGTCTGTAATTATACTGTTTTACCACACTGCTTGTGCAACGGGACTGAATAAAGAGTGCTTTTGTAAGGACTTGGTTTACACTTTCTCAGTAATGTTGTTTAATTTTAGGAAATCAATTTTTAACCTTTCAAATGTTTTCAATTCTATGTTAGTAAAAGTTCATTTCTTCAGAGAGAGACAGCTGAGGACTTGAAAAATCATTGTTTTTTTGTTTTTATCCTTCAGAGTTTGTTTTTATGGTTTTCCTTTGATTAGGATTGGCTTTTAGGAATAGGTTTTATTTGGAAGAAAATGGAGGAAGGTATCCTCTTATTTTGGTTTTCCTGTTAATTCGGATAGACCGTTAGCAGGCTAGGTGGTTGTGCGAGTAGGTAATAACTGCAATAATAATAGTGTTGTTGACTATTAATTTTTGTTGTTGAAAAATTTGTGTAGACAAGTGGTTAGCACTTGCTATGATTGGGTCATTGGCCGATAGCGTTCCTGAGAGTTAAGGTGAGAGATTGTTAGTAAGGGTTGATTGGGACATGTGTTATGGTGAAGTGAGCAATGTTCGTAAATCCTTCTGAGCTTTTTAAAAGTACTTCTTTATTTTTTGGAGTTCCAGCGCATGGATTTATCAGGAAAAATTATTATGTACACAAATGTAAAGTGAGCAAAAATGAAAAAGAAGCAATTAGTGTTGCAGTTGTGGTCATATCCGTAGTGTTGCGTCACTGCTTTAGGTATTGGATTTTGGTTTTCTAAAAAGAACAGTAAGTGGTCAGGTTGCATTGTGTTAGTTCTTTAAAGCTTAGGAAGGTACCGTTTTTCTTATTTGTTGCTAATAAGTGATTTGTTTTGTTCGATAAGAAAAATGATTTACAAGATAAATTTTGTGAGGTTGAGTCTTTGTCTTGTGCTGAATGCAGATTAGAAAACTCGGTACGTAACTACCACTGTCACTAAAGCGAAAGCTTAGCGATGATTTAGTGAGAAGATACCTGGAGAAAACTGTGAGCAGAGACGAACGCAGTTTTGAGGATGAACGTTGTTCGCCGGCTACTAAAATTCATTCTGTTTAAGACGGCATTAGCTCTATTTATTTAGTTTATGAACATAGAACAAAGGTTTATGGTTTACCTGTTATAATAATAGTGCTTGAACAAGGGGGAGGGAAAAAACTAAGGAACTAAATTTCTAGGGCAAAAAAAAAGAACGAACAGGGGAAATAGTGAGACATGGTAACTTTGAAAGTTTCATTATTAACTGCTAACACTTGGAATGGAACGGAAGCACAGAAATTGAAGAAACAGTTTAATGTATCATACAATAACAATTGATTCGTTATGATAAGTTTTTTTTTTTATCAGTTTTTTGTCCTTGATTAATTGAACAAAAAGATTTCAATGACTTTATTTACTTACAATCGTTTTCAGCGGAAAATGATAACGATCGAATTCTCCGAAGTGTTCCGAGACTGCTTTGGGCACTTAAATAGTTGGATTCACCAGGATGATATGAAGTCCGTTGTTTTGCATAGTGTTTTAACTTTCCATGATCTAGTCGCGCAGACATAACCACCTTTCTGAAGTAACCATTGTTTTTGGGTGGGATTGAAGTTTTGAATGGAGAGTTACATTTGTGTTTGCTGTTCAATAAGATGAGACGGAAGGGGTGAAAGTTTCGTAAACTGATATAATTTAGTTTCTACTGCATATTCAACAGACGCTGAGAACCATCATCGTTGTGAAGATGAAAACAGTGGAACTTACCCGCTACATTTTGGTGCTTCCTGAATCGGGTTTGTCGCTTTTGATATTGGCGTATTATCTGCCACTGTAAAACAATGGAAATAATTTAGGTACTAGTCTACTTTTCAACGGGGAATCAGAGATAATTGAGCAATTGCTTCTTTTGTTCTTGTGTGAAAAAGTAAAAGAAATGAATTTCCACTTTGTACAGATATTTCGGGGACGGCCGTTGAAGAGGAGCCTTCAGATTCATGCCGTTGACGTCTCAGTGTCGCATAATATCCGTCACGAATCGATGAAAACATAACAGTGACTAGATTTGTCCAGGCCTACAATTAGTTTGAGTAGCTGGAATGTTGGTTGCTTTTTCAAAGTTATCAAATTTTTTGGTAGACCTTTGCATATTCTAATAACTTGCTGACTTCTTCAGATGGTTTCTTTCTTTTAGAATTTGCAACAGTCTCGTAGCCATTATTTTTCCCTTCTTATCCACCCAGTGTTCCTCAACGATATATACGGTTAAAAACTGCATGATTTTAATGCTGTCCAGGATGTGAAATTATTCGGAAGTTCCATTTGAAACCTTTTTTGTTGTGCAGTTTGTAGCAAATTCATTAAAGAGGGTGGACTGACGGAAAAAAAAGAAATTGCTTTCATCTTTCGGCCTCAGTATCTTAGAAGTGAGGTGTGTCATTGATCACCTTTCAATTATTCATGACTATAGGTAACTGAAAAGAAAGCAAAGAAAAAAATTTGATTTAGAGGACTGACGTCAACCACTGTCGTATATTCGGTCTATAATCTTTGTTGTTTTGTAAAATGTTGGATTAGAATTACAATGATCAGGTGAAAACAAAGAATTTCTTCAAAGGAAATTACAGCAACAGTTTAACGAGAAATCCTTCCATGAAATAACAGTGGCTTTTATCAGTTGGTCAAGTAATGTCAAGTCCTCTCTACTTTTCCTTATCTTTTCGATTTTGATAACACATCATCAATGATTATCTCCAATCAAAATATGCCGAAAAATTAAGAATCTAGCTGGTTTAGCAGTTGAACTTGCGGAACGTTTGGGGCGTACAGCTGCAACACAGACACATTGGTCACTGTACTCTTATCTATAATCTGGTAGCCAATGATTAGACATTAGTCTACTCAATACCTCTATTTTATGGATAAAATTAAGTGATACAGCCAGACTGTTTTTTATATGAACTAATGCAGTTTTTACTGGGATCGCTGCTTCTTCTATGTGTCGGTATGTTAATTGTTGACGACACCACAAAATTTTTAAATAAAGGTTAGGATTAGTTTTTATTCAACTCTGTTATTTTTCTTGAACAAGTGTAATTTATTTGTAAGTTTGTGTTTCAATGTTGATTAACTAACAATAAACAGTGATGTTGTTATTTTTGTGTCTATAGTGTACGCTGTTTAGTTTTGTTTTCTTGTTTTAGTTCAATTTTTTTTGGTTTCTTTTTTTTTTGATCGCTTTTTTTATTTTGTTTTCTCTTCATTTTTATCAAACATTGAATTTCTTTTTTCATTTCTGATATTTGCATATCGGTAGCTAAGATCAAGTCTAACTATGTGTTCTTGTTTCTTTTTGTTTAAATAAGGAAAAAAAATTTATTTAACCTCAAATGTCAGTGTTGGCGACTGGCATATTGCAGTATTGTCCAGGAAAACGCATTCAGTTGTTATTGCATCGGCTGCTACAGTAAAAAACTCCGGTTTAAAGCCATACGGTTTCATTGAAACGCAAAAACCACCGAATTCTTCTGACAGTGCTTTTATCTAGAACAGAACGCTCGGTTTTTCGTTTTCTTTAAATGATTAAAAGAAATGTACGAGAAGTACATGTACCTTTCTTTCCTTTGTTTTCCTTCTAATTTTGCTTTGTAACATAAACTAAAAAATCTTCTTGCATGAAAATTTGAATATTGCTACCAGTTGAATTAGTAGAAAATTGATGTCTTCTTTTTGAACCAGGAAAAATTGGGCGGAGAAGAGGAAAGAAGGAAAATTGGTAGTCAATAATGATAAAAAGATTTTGAAAAATCACCGTACTGCTGATATGCAATCAGCCAGTTGCTGATTAACGATTTTGACAGTAATCGAAAAATAAAAAATAAAAAATAGAACCATTAAATCATTTACTTTATCAGCATCCTTAATATTATCGATAACGGAATCAAGGTATTGACGAAATCTTTCAGTAAAGTCATTAAGGTTTTCAGCATCAACTTTTGCCGCAAATAATCTATAAAAAAAAAATCTTGCCTATAAATTAATTTGGTTAGTTGTTAACAGAAAAACATAACTTTCAAAAAAGTGACAACGACTATTTGAGAAAGAAAAAAAAGAAAAGAATTTCATGAAAAATGAAAAAAATGAAAATGAAAAGTTTTAAAATGAAAAGAATTTGAAAAGAAAAAAAGTGGCAACTGAGGAGAGGATTTAATTGGCGTAAACAGTTTCGTTTCCTTCTCCTTC